AAACATGAACTACTGTTACAGCAACAGACATGGACTACTGGTGTTCCACACAACAACTCAATGTCCACTATGTGAAGGAGCCAAACACATGCTTGCTCCTCTCGTTAACTGAGATAAACTGCTGGCATATTGGTTTTACATCTATACTGTCCAGTCTCTCCTGGTGGACATGGCATACAGCAGCATTGTTTAATCTCATTCGAGTCACTGTTAACCTTACCCATCTTTTTAGTCTTCTGAGAGCACTGAAGCTTCTTTTAGCCTCAGTACATGCGTTTTATCCTCAGATTAAAATTATTATTATTATGTGCCTCACCTTTGGCCCTGGCTCTTCCCCACTGACTGCACTAGGACATATTGCCACCTGATAAAATAGCACATTGATTCGTGCCATATAAAAAGTGAGACGTGTCAATTCAGATTCTTTGTCAAATATACACTAATGAATCAATTTACATCAGCAGCCTGACAATTGTCATGATAATAAATACTAGTTAATCTATAGCACCAAATCATCAGTCAGTCACCTGTGACCTCGCCTCTTCACCTCTGTCCGAGCTACAACATGGCAGAGCTGTCTTTGTCCCCTGATAAATAACAATGAGATATTCCAAATACATGCAGTCACATATGTGCTTCAAATACAGTAATGAACCATCAAGTCATCATCCAATTCCACCTGTGATCTTGTATCACCATTGTTGGTTGGAATATTTGCAAAATCATGACTACCTCATGATATTTTGTCTCAAAAATTAACCCTATGAATATGTCAGTACCATTAGGATGAAATTATTGTGTCACCAACATTTAACGTTAGACATATAATTTTAACAGCCTCTGTAAACTAATATCCTGGCGTTTTCTCTGACAGTTTCAATCAAAATTAGAAATGCTACTGTGGGAGACTGAGATAACTAATAGTGCTGCATGTTGTGCAGTTAGTTTCCAAAACACGTTATTCATGGTTGCATACAATTTTAGACTGATGTGGGCCAAAGCCTAGCATAGCCTGTAACGTT